GTGTGTGCGTTCGTGTTTGTTTGTGTGTGTGTGTGTGTTTGGCACAGTAGGGGGCACAGGTGGTGCACCAGCCAGTCATCTCAGTCAGTCGACCCGTGGCACCTGGGTCTGTCCCGTGACCTCCTGCCCGCGGGCGTTCGACACTTCACGTGGCCTCAGGGTGCACATGGCCTGGCACGAGCGTCGTGGTGACGTCACCGCCACTTAGTGGTGAATAGCGGTTGTTGTTGTTGTTTGTTTGTATGCCCACAACGCGGTAACCGCGGCTGCCCCGCGACGCCCTGGCAGGCACGACGGTCGTCGCCCACTCCAAGCGATGTCCGGGCTCAAGGCCCCCGCGCTTAAGCTCGCCGCCGAGTTCTGGCGAGATTTGGGGACCGCGGGTCCAGGTGCTGTCGGTCGTAGGCCGTAAAAATTGGGAAAAAGGTTGCAACTCAACACCGCGGAATGTCCGTACGTGTAAAACTTCAAGCGTGAACAAGGCCTCGGAGGCCGTGACCAAATAACGGGGGAAGCTGCCCAATCTGTTCCGTGAAACATTCACAGCGGCGTCGGCTCCAAGCACGCCGTGACGGTCAAAAGCAGAAAAAAAACACACGAGACATCCATCGTGAACAGTGACGTTGTATACCAGCCGAGAGAGAGAGAGAGGGTCTGGGCGCTCGAGGTTTCAAATCGGAGGAGCAACGTCAGCAAAAGAACACACGACCGGCGGCGCGCTTCGCACAACACACTCCCGCGGTGGGCGCTTCACCAAGATGCTCGGGACATCTCGGGACCGCCAAGTCCGTTGGCGTTGCTATCACGGCGGCGCCATCCTCAGCCGCAGGTGGCAAAACTGATACAGGTTATAAAAAAATTACATTCAATTAGAATCTTCGCTTAGACTGCAGGAAGACTCCGATGAGCTATGAAGCTCTTTTTTTCGCAGATGTCCAACATGGGTGGGAAAGATATGGGCACCACCCCTTCCTCCCCCCCTCCCCATGCGCCCCCCCACTCCAACCCCCCCCTTTCAAACCCCCCCCCCCATCAAATTTTCCCTCTTTGGGCCCTGTTGCAGTTGCACTGCCTGCACACTCAACGGTTACTCGCCTGATTATTCACATCACGGTCATCATCACCACCACCATCATCATCCGATACATTTGACAGTTATTTAAAGCATTTTTTTCTTGTTGTTAAATACCGACATGCCAGAAAGACATCTGTTTCTGGAGGCAAACGGGCAACTCCGGGAAAAAAATAGGCCACGATCCTAACCGTGGCTGGCAAGTGAGCTTTGTACACAGCGTGAATAATTAAACGAGCGTTGGCCCCCTTAGAAATTATGCTTTTTCTTTCAGGCAGCAGGCCTCTAAAGAGAGGTCAAGAAAGGTCATGCACGGCATGGGAATCACAGGAGGGTTTAACCCTTTTGCAAGCACTCCCCTTGCGAGCTCTCGCCAGTGAGTCTAAAAACTATTTTTTTTACTTTTAGATTTTAGCAGGTAAGGGCCACTGAGCTGTATAGCTCTTTTTCAGAAGCGACCTGGCCATCACAAATGCTAGCCCAGCGAAGTGGCTTATCACGTGGAAATGTATAGCAGCCAAATACTCTAAACGCACGTTGATTCTAAATTTGGGAGGGAAAACCCGGAGGACCCGGAGAAATAATCCACGTGACCACGGGGAGAGAAAGAGACACGCAAACTCCAAATATAAAGCAGGCGTCAGGGTCGGGATCGAACCCACGAACTCCTGTATACCAGTCGAAGTAATTAACATCTCCCCCACCGCAGCGCCGCAACCGTGCCCGGCCACAGACTGCCTGATTGCCCCAGGGGGTTAGAGGTGGAGACTCCCGATGCGAGCGCATCCAAACACGTAAATTAGAACGCATCAGCCCAATAGCCGGAGAGCTCCACTGGCTCCCAATCCCCCCCCCCATCCCAACCCACACCGAGCAATTTCAAGATCGCAGTCACTGACTGCAGTGTTTCACATGGAATTGCCCCTGCCTACCTCTCTCCTCTAATCTCACTCTACTCCGCTCCACACACTCTCCTACCTCTGCCCTCTCATCTCACTCTACTCCCCTCCACGCACTCTCCTACCTCTCCCCTCTCATCTCACTCTACTCCCCTCCACGCACTCTCCTACCTCTCCCCTCTCATCTCACTCTACTCCCCTCCACTCACTCTCCTACCTCTCCCCTCTCATCTCACTCTACTCCCCTCCACTCACTTTCCTACCTCTCCCCTCTCATCTCACTCTACTCCCCTCCACGCTCTCTCCTACCTCCCTCCTCTCATCTCACTCTACTCCCCTTCTCCTAAATCTACAGTTATTCCACACAGATGTAATAACGCTGAGTGGAAAAACCCATAAAACTTGTATCCGTTGCTTGACAAAATGTTGGGTGACATCATCTGCGTCTTTAGCTAAACCGTCATGAAGAGATGCATTCACTGAGCTCATCTCCTCTTCAATCGCCCATCCTTATTATTAAAGTTCTCCCATCGCGATTTGCTCAAACGCCCTGAAAAAACGCACGTCCCTTGTTGTAATGTTCTGGAAGTAAGAGCAGGAACTATTTTTTACTTCTCATTTTACTCAAAAATTGAAATTTTTTCGGAACAATTACGCTGCGCTCATTTCCATTTTCAATGTCATCAATGTACGATAAAAAAAACATCTTTTACTGTTAAAGGAATTTGCAGCATAAATACACTTGTCACAAACCATTTAATATAAATCATCCCAAACATTTTCCCATTTACACTTCAATTTTCATGTTTTTACTCTGCGATACGTGTCACGTCCATGACCACAGTTGAGGCGCCTACTTTCTCATGGACCAGATATTACCCAAGGTTTCATTTCAAATTAAAACTAAACTATTTTAAATTTTACCAGGTAATGCCCGCTGAGCTATGTAGCCCTTTTTCAGAAGTGGCCTGGCCATTACAAATGAGAGCTCAACGAAGTGGAAATTTATAGGAGCCAAATACTCTAAATGTGGAGGGAGGGGAAAACCGAAGGACCTGGAGAAAAATCCAGACAACCATGGGGAGAACAAACTACAAATATACAACAGGCATCAGGATCGGGATCGAACCCACGACCTCCTGCACACCAGGCGAAGGAGTTAACATCTTGCCACCACGGTGCCGGCCAAGCCGGCCATTGCCACATGAGGCCTACCACTCGGGTTGGCACCTCTGCGGTACAAAATGCTGGGACATATCACAAGAAGAAGAAGCTCTCACGATACCGGACGAGGTGGTAACTACGTGTGAATGCGTAAGCTTGAGTGGTGAATCATTACGCGACCGACAAAAAAAACGGCACGCTTAACGTCTCGGGAAACTCTTCCAAATTCCCACGACAGCAGCCTCTACATCGAGGACCATCCAGAGAAAAAAACAGGAACAGGTGACGGACGGACCTTTACCTACTACCACTTTGAAAGCGGCCCGCCCACAACCGTATCCATCGCCCGCAGCAGGCATACAGCAGCAACTGGTCGGGCACCAGGAGGGGCAATATTTTCAACGTGGCATCAACATTGCGCGATCTAATTTTAGCACGCTCACTAATGTCTCTCACCGCAATGGCCTTTTGCCGTGACGGACGTGGCAGAGACGTGTGTGTGTGTGTGTGCGTGATAATCTGCGGTCGCCCGACAAGAAGGGCACTGGAAAGTCCTACTGCGCTCTCGGCAACGAAAGCGTCACCCGCCCCTGTTTTAGACCAATCGGAGGTTCAAAAGCAAAGCGTAGAGAGGTGAGGTGTGAGCCGGGTCATCTGTGGTATGTTGTTTTCGCTTCGATTCCGATGCGCACGCGACGGTGTGACAATTTTTGCCCGGCACGGCGTCGATCGCTCTCGAAATTGCCGCCGCCCATCAAGGCGGTCAAAATCACGACCGTTGGTTCCTCAGGCTTGAGACGTTTCGGTGGTTTTTTTTTAATTGTTTTTGCCTGCGCATCAGAAAGCGAAGACCAAGAGCGCACACGGCCACGCAGAATTGTCATCCTGAAACCGATTGCCAAACATGTTTTTTTTCCCCCTTGTCCAGATCATATGCAACACCGAAATATTCATTTCCGTATTGCACTTACAGATGCGGTCCTATGCGGACAGACAAGAAGCGCAATGTCGATTTCTCAATCTTGCCATGAAACAGAGAAAGAAAAAAAACACCCAGCCGGACGCTGTGACTCATTGCATCACGCGGAAGATCGCTCAACTAAACAAAACAGTTACGCGGTTCGGTCCATGAGCGCCAGTTCGCAAGTCGGATCGTAAAAAAATATACATATTACGGACGTTCGTTCGTAAGTGTGCGGATGTTCGTAAGTCGGGTAAACTGCCTGTAAATAATGCATCCGTACTGTGTGTATAGATTCACTGAAACTAATATTATCCACGGCCTGTGTTCAATCTGCGTTTACTCGCGGGTAAAGATCTGCGGAGCATCGGAAGTGTTCCCGGGCCACCTTCCACCAACCCTCACCGACTGGCGTTGCGAAGTTCGGCCAAACAACTCCCCTGGCCAGCATGGCACGGGGGAAGCCTGCAGTCAAATGTTACCTCCATCGCCTCGTACGCAGGAGGTCGTGGGTCAGATCCCGACTCCCGACGCCTGTATATTTGGAGTCTGTGACGTCGCGTGGAATTTGTTTTTTTCCTCCGCGTCCTCCGGTTTTTCCCCTCCACATTTAGAATCAACGTGCGCTTTAGATCATTTGGCTGCGATGCATTTCCACGCGACAAGCCACTTTCGTCGGGCTACCGTTTGTGAGAGCCAAGTTGCTTCTCAAAAAGAGCTACGTAGCTCAAGTGGGCCTTACGCCTGATAAAATAAATAAAAACGTTTTAAATTCACAACCCCTCCGGGCACATCGAGCACAGCCTGAGAACGAGCACCTGTAGACACTTTGGGCCACCCCACCGCCACGCCCCCCCCCCCTCGCCCCCTCCAGCCCCCCCCCCCCACGACCACCACCACTCACCTGTGAGCACGGCAGGCCCTTGCTCCAGGAGCGCCTTCAGGTCGCGAGCCCGCAGCTCCCTGCACTCCGCCTCCATGATCTCATCTGCGTGACCACAGAGGGGCAGTGGGGACACGTGGGGGGGGGGAGGGAGGAGGGGGGAGGGAGGAGGGGGGAGGGGGTCACGTACTGATGAGGTCGCCGCTCGTCAACCGGGCAACTCGGACCGACCGCGGCCGTCCGGCCCAACCGCACAGCCAGCCAGACCGGCGAGCACGTGGTGCGGTTGCTCACGAGCGTGCCGCTCGCTCACGGCACTTTGCCCCGGAAGTATGTTAAGAGTTTACGGGGGGGGGGGGGCGATATTTTTTCTTTTGTAGGGCTACGCTACGAACCCGGGCTCCCTAGTTCGATTCCCGCTCACAGACAACATCGGCGTCGAAGAGCTGAACCCGGTCCCGGACTTGAACCCAACGACGCCAGCGTCCTTCACTCATTTTCAGAGGGGGGGTAGCGGGAGGGGGGGGTGGCACTTTCGCCGACAAGACATCATCAGGTGTGAGGGCGCCGCCACACATTTGGGAGTTTGACAGCAGCACGATGATGATGATGGGGGGAGTTGTCACCATTTGTGTATTGTCACGGGGGGTGGGGGGGGGTGCACGTCAGGGGGCCGCACTAAAGGCCACCGGTGGTCCGTGGGGCCTTGCGATGAAGAACAGTGCCCAAGGTCGACTCAGCCTTAAATGAGTGCCACTGTGTAAACATCACCGCTGTGAATACAATGGCGGCCAGTCATGTTCCTCTCCTCGTGCACCATACCCCCCCCCCCACCACCCCTCCGCTCAATAAGAAGCTCACAAACGACACTGCAATAGGCTGTAAAGGATATGAAGGAGGATGACATATTCCTTTGTCTTCGTGCGAGCCAGATCTTTTCAGGAACAATAAACCCCCCTGTCTTTTCTACGTTCGATAAACGTGGGCGCCCTTCAGCAAGGAACACCTCCGTGGACTTTAATCGTTCGCGCTGGCCTAACCTACAGATCCCGTCCTGGATTTCGCCGGACTGGACTGTGCTAGGAGCTCGCACAGATCTTCACATCGGCCAGGATGATGATGATGATGCGTGGGGCTGTGTCTCGTAGCTCGGCATGCCCAGCCACCACGTGACCAAGCGTCAAAGTGTAGTTCGCCTGGCACAAGCACTGCGGTGATGTCACCGGCACTGAATGGTGAATGCCAGTTGCTGTGTGTACTTGCACGTACACGCGTGTGCGTGTGTACGGTTAGCGCAGTGTGCTACGAAACCCGGCCGCCCGAATTTGATTCCCGCTCACGGTCAACATCAGTGATTAATATCTGAACCGGTCCTGGGACTTCCCTTGGGTCGACTCAGCCTGAAATGAGTACCTGGGTGCGGTGTGTAAACATCGCCACCGGAGAGACAAAGGCGGCCGGGCGTGGTGCTGGCCACCCCCACCCCGTTAGCGAGCAGCACCTATGAAGGCCGGCACGGCACACGAGGGGGTGGGTGGCCAGCACCACGCCCGGCCATCTTTGTCTCCCCTTGTGGCGATATTTACACATTGCACCGGGTAACTCATTTGAGGCTGAGTCGACCCAAGGGAAGGCGCAGGTACCGGTTCAGAGAATCATCGCTGGTGCCGGCCGTGAGCATTAATCGAACTCTGGTCCCCGGGGTTCGTAGCTCGGCGTAGCGTTAACAGCTCCGCCACCGCTCCACTTGACTACGATGACACACGCGCGGAGGCACAATGGACCTCACTTACTCAGGAAAGGCCAGGCGTGGGTAGAGGTGTGACTGGTAAGGGTCAAGCTGACCCCATGGGGTGAGATTATTTTTAAACTTGTTGAATTTTATCTTTTTTTTTTAAAAGCGTCTTTAAAACAACAACAAAAAACCACCCTCGCGACAGAATTAAAAAACCCAGTGGGCGACAATCGACCTGTGCTAATTACGGACGCGCTGCCGTTTCACGCTGCAAGAGCCGCCAAACGGGGCTCCTCCGCTCAAGCATCGTCGCCGTCAGCCACGGGAACTTCCGAAGCTACAACCCACTGTGGGTGCAACGGTGCAGAAATAGGGCAGGGCTTTATCCACGACGTGCAACATTCCACAGACCCCTGGCTTCGATCGTCCGCGAAGCCAATGGTAATCACCAGCCCTCAAACGGCATCCGCACGCAGACCATGGATTTGTTGACGCACAAATGGAAAAATTACAAAATATTCCGGGGGACCACGGAAGGTCACCCACTCCAGAAAAAAAAAACACGGAACAGATAACGACTCAACGCCCGGTTCACAGACATGGAGGAGGAGGGGGGAGGAGGAGGGGGGAGGAGAGGGAGGGGGCATCGTCAGAGCGGCGAATTTTCAACACTCCGCTACTCCTGATGCAATCAGTTGGCTCATCAACCACCTCGATGGAAAAATCACAGCAGTCGCTCTGCATCAACATCAGCTATACAAACAAGGAGACAGATCTACAGATTCACACCGACACCCATAGACTCGCATTGATACCCATTGATTAACAAAGAGATCTATAGTTTCCCACTGAGACCTATACGATCGCATAGAGACGCATAGACTCACATAGATATCTATAGATTCACACTGAACCCCATACACTCCCATAGAGACCCATAGACTCACACAGAGATCTAGAAATTCACATAGAGACCCATAGACTTGCACTTAGATATATATGCACACTGAAACCCATACACTCCCATAGAGACCCATAGACTCACACAGAGATATAGAAATTCACATAGAGACCCATAGACTTGCACTGAGATATATATGCACACTGAAACCCATACACCCCCATAGAGACCCATAGACTCACACAGAGATCTAGACATTCACATAGAGACCCATAGACTTGCACTGAGATATATATGCACACTGAAACCCATACACTCCCATAGAGACCCATAGACTCACACAGATCTAGAAATTCACATAGAGACCCATAGACTTGCACTGAGATATATATGCACACTGAAACCATACACTCCCATAGAGACCCATGGACTCACACAGATCTAGAAATTCACATAGAGACCCATAGACTTGCACTGAGATATATATGCACACTGAAACCCATACACTCCCATAGAGACCCATAGACTCACACAGAGATCTAGAAATTCACATAGAGACCCATAGGCTTGCACTGAGATATATATGCACACTGAAACCCATACACTCCCATAGAGACCCATAGACTCACACAGAGATCTAGAAATTCACATAGAGACCCATAGGCTTGCACTGAGATATATATGCACACTGAAACCCATACACTCATGCTGGGACCTGTAGACTCATCAAAAGATCAATAGATTAACACCGAAACCCATACACTCGCATAGAGACCCACAGACTCACACAATGACCCATACACTCAGATAGAGACCTACAGACTCGCAGAGAGACCCATACGAAAGGGGGCATCATCACAGCAGCGATGCACCACTCCGCTACTCCTGGGGCAACCCACTGGGTTCATCCGCCTCGAAGTAAAATCACAGTTGTTGCTCGACATCATCAGCATCAGCTGTACCGAGAAGAAGTAAACGTTGGCTAAACGTTTGGCTCAACGTTGGCTCAACGTTGTCTCAATGTTTGGCCCAATGTTGTCTCAACGTTGACCGAACGTTGGCCCAACATTGACCCAACGATAGCTCAAAGTTGGCTCAACGTTGGCTCAACGTTGGCCTAACGTTGGCTCAAACGTTGGCCCAACGTTGGTTCAACGTTTGGCCCAACGTTGGCTCAACGTTCGTTCAACGTTGGCCCAACGTTGCCATAATTTACTGGGATCTAACGGAACACGAAGAAGTCGCACGGACAGACACGACAGTCGCGACCGCACCGATGCTGTGCGATATAAACATCAGCCTTCCCCCACGTCTCGCTCTGCAACATCTTTACAACCCACAGAGCGACAGAGGGAAGCCAATGGGATATTTGTTTCCTCTCCTGCTATAAGCAGCCTCTGATCCTCACATGATACACGCGGGAGGTGTTGTGTGTGCGCGCGTGTGTGCCCTTGTACCACAGCGCGCACCGCGCGCATGTGTTTTGTTAAGCGGCGGCGTTGTGGTTAGCGCTACACTGCGCCACGAATCCGCCGGCGCGAGTTCGATTCCCGCTCACGGCAAACACCGGTGACGATTATCCGAACCGGTCCTGGACCTCCTCCCCCCGCCCCCCTCCCCTCCCTAAGGTCGACTCGACCTCAAGTGAGCACCCGGTGCGGTGTGCGAAACATCGCAAACCGGAGAGACAAAGGCGGCCGGGCGAGGTGCTCGCCACACCACCCACCACCGCCTCGTGTGCCGAGCCGGTCATTCGGAGCTTCTCCTCGTCCCCACCAGTCTGTTAAAGGCTACACATGGCGGGGGGGGCGGGGCAGGGGGAGGATTTAATTTTTGTTGCATTCTTTGTTTTGTTCCGAGCGCTCCGACGGATATTCTTGAACCGCCCACGCTCCTCTCAATAACATCCGATGTTACTTCGTCTCTCTGGCGAATTCCCCCTCTACTATTTTGGTGTGCCCCCTCCCTCCCTCCCTCCCGCCCCCCTCCCCCCCCCCACCAAGACGTTCCACATCTTCCTCAGGCATTTCCCTTTTGCCGCGACAAAACGAGGGAACAGCACAGGAATGATTCGGGGCGACTGCGTTGAAAAGAAAGTAAAATTTAAAAAAAAGTGGCGGCTCTGCCAATTGCCCCTTGCTCACGCCACCGCCGGCAGGAAGGGCCTTCGCGAGAGACCCACTCCCGACATCGCTGGTTCTTCGCCTGGGGTGCACGCACACACGGGGAGTGCGAGACGCGGCAAGATTATTTTTTTTAAGGTTAATCATCAAAAACAGAAATTTGGCACGGGCAACGCAAGTACGGCTGACTTTGTCACGCGACCAGTATCATCCGAAAGAGGTTTTTTTTTTGTTCTGGGTTAGATTGCGTAAATATATAAATGTTGTGTCGTTAAAACCCGCCACCACCCGACACAGCCAACTAGTAAGGGGTTGTCGTGTAAACAGAACGTGGCCAATTCTGTTT